TGTGTTAACGTTTCTCCTGATCTCAAACGCAGAAAACACGTTCAGAGAATATTTTTTTTTAAAGCTTCGCAGAAAGCCATAAAGCACGTGCGGAAATTTACTTTTACTGCAGTATAAATACGTGGAATATGTTAGTGCTTCACTACTCCTGTAAACCACTTTTACATTAAAACTTTCACAGCAGCCTATACGCTTAAAACGTATAAAATCCGGCACATACATTATTCGTTATAAACTGCACATTAGTAGTTTAAAACGGCAGTATGGCAGTGATTAGTAAGATCTGCTTTTTATTATGGCCACAGTGTATGGAGCGCCCGGCGTCGCCATGCGGACTAACTCCAGGTGCCGTTACTCGGAGAATTACCTTCTGTGGGAAGTTCGGGTCCTGGTCCGGGTTAATCTCGGCTTGGGCTTCTGCTCCTGGTTGCGGGGACTTTGCGCATAGCTTTTATAGGAGGTGGCGGCGTTTTACTGCCGGTCATTGTATAACCGGAGGTGGGGGGGTAGGAGGCCGGGGCGCTTGCGGCACATGGACGACACGCATAGCGAGCGGCACGGAAAGGAGTGGCGTGTTAGATAAGGTCCCCCGATGGACTGCAGTGACAGGCGGCGTTTATGAGACATTCATCTAGCTGTGTATCTGCTTCACAGGTTCCGCATGTACGCATTATGATCGCTTCTTCCTGAGTGTCCCACACGAAAAGCTGTAATACTGAATAAATAGCTTTTCGGGATAAGCGAGCTACCCATAACTGCCGTATACTGCTTACGATTATAAAATAATAATTAGCTTTCCTGTTCTTCCATCAGCCCCAGTCACCTGACCACCTGTGTCGACATCTATCCAGCCGAACTTTATACATGTTTTACAATCGGATTTACGGTGTGCACTCTGTATTGACACTCTCTGTTTCCCATGGTCTTCCTTAACGGAGTAAAATAAGCGAATCACATTATCTTACCGGGCTTCATATGATCCCAAGTTCAAATTTTAATCATTGCTGTTTTTGAAAAAATACACTATGTGGACAAAGGTATTGGGACACACCTTTTAATCACTGAATTCATACCTTTCATTCAGACCCACTGCCACAGGTGTATAAAATTCTTCCCTGCTAGATATTCCATGGTCAACTGTAAGTGGTATTATTGCAAAGTAAAAATGTTTAGGAACAACAAAAAATCTTCCACGAAGTGACAGACCACGTTGCAGAGCGGGTCGTCGAGTGCTGAGGTGCATAATGTGTAAAAGTCACAAATGCTCTGTTGACTTAGTATCTGCAGAGTTTCAAACTTCCTCTGGCATTAACCCCAGGACAAAAAACTGTGCACTGGGAGCTTCGTGGAATGGGCTTCCATGGCCGAGCAGCTGCATGCAAACCTCACATCACCAAGCACGATGCCAAGCGTCGGATGGAGTGGAGTAAAGCACACTGCCACTGGACTCTGGAGCAGTGGAACCGTGTTCTGTGGAGTGACAAATCACATTTCTCTGTCTGGCAGTCTGATGGATGAGTCTGGGTTTGGCAGATGCCAGGAGAACGTTACCTGCCTGACTGCATTGTGCCAACTGTAAAGTTTGGTGAGGAGGGATAATGGTATGGGGGTGTTTTTCAGGGGTTGGGTTGGGCCCCTTAGTTCCAGGGAACTCTTAATGCTTCACCATGCCCAAAGACATTTTGGACAATTCTATGCTTTCAACTTTGTGGGAACATTTTGGGGAAGGCCCTTTGCTCTTCCAGCATGACTGTGCCCCAGTGCACAAAACAAGGTCCATAAAGACATGGTTGGGTGAGTTTGGTGTGGAAGAACTTGACTGGCCCACACAAAGCCCTGACCTCAACCCCATCAAACACCTTTGGGATGAACTAGAACGCAGATTGTGCCTGTTGTCACAAATGCTCTACTGGATGGATGGACAAAAATTCCCACAGACAAACTCCAAAATCTTGTAGAAAGCCTTCCCAGAAGAGTGGCAGCTGTTATAGCTGCAAAGGGGGGGCCAACTCCACATTGATGCCTATGGATTTAGAATGGGATGTCAGAAAGGTTCCTGTGGGTGTAATGGCCAGCTGTCCCAATACTTATGACACTGTACTGTTTGTTTCCACATTTCCAGAAAAAAAAAATCATCTATAAAATGTAACCCCGCCCCTCCACCCTACAGCTCTCCTGCTTACAGATATATAGTATACGGAGGGCTAAAGAGTGACTATTTAACATCCGTAAACATTGAAAGCATAATAATGTTTACTTTTCAGCTTTCAAAACAGGCTCTGGACCCTCCGCGCTCCTGAATATGACAAGCATGTATAGAAAACTAATGGACCTTCTATTAAACGTTTTTATTGCGCAGAAACTTTTTTCCGAAAAGGAGACAGATATTTATTACACCTTAAGCACACAGCCATCTTAAGGGGGGATCGATCTGAACGAAACAAGTGCAAGATAGTTGGGGGGAAAAGAGCTAAAGGTATACATTGTAAAACCCTACATCTGAAATGGTACACACCAGGCCTGGACTGGCTCTTTGCAATAAGGGGCATTTTCTGGCTGGGCGCATGGGTTTGTGCGCAACGCTAAAACAGAAGAACCCCACTAATTGAGAAGTGCATATAAAAATGTCACACAAACAAGATAACTGAGTGGGGTTATTTAGTTAGGCTAGGTCAGGGTTAATCTGATAAGCAGGGACGTGGTATGTGTGTCGTTTCGTGCCCTTTAAAGGACCAGCTCCACCGCGGATCGCCTGAATGTTCACAATCACCACACACCTGAGCACTGGTGACACAACCCTGAATCACGGCGTTCTTACTGGGGTGGCAATAAGCTAATATTTTGCCTATCGGGGAGTCCCCATCGGTAGCATTTGCCGATCGCAAGCATATATATATAGCGTTATCCATGAACCTTATGACAACACGCCGCAAACCAATGTTTTTTTTTTTTTTTAAATCCAGATTCCGTTTTTATTTCGTTGGCGAGAGAGGCAACTGGGGTGGCTTCCAATGTAATCTGACACTGGGTAATTTTTCAGGATTTGTTAGATCGTTGTTAATGTCTGTGCTGGCGTGCCATTATTTTCAGTGGCATGACTTCATATTGCCCCATAGCACCATCTACTGGCTACAATTGATACGTCTAAATATAGAAATGTATCTGTGCCTAGAGAGGCAATATTGAAGCTTGACACCTCCAGGGTCTGCTGTGCTTTGTAGAGTCTGCACGTACTCTAGCTTCCTCCTGCAGTGCAAAGACATGCAGGTTGGCGTCTGTAAATGGCCAGACTGGACTTGCATCCCATCCAGGGTGTCCCCCTGCCTCATTCCCTGTGCAATCTGGAAGAGGCTATAAAATCAAAGTGTGCAACCATTCAAGCAAATGAACAGAGCATGTGTAAGTACCACATTACAGCAAATAAATATATGTGTACTCGTAAAAATCATTAGTTTTTACCACCGATTCATTTAGGCATTGTTTATTTAGGCAAAATGTAACCCAACATTCAGAAAGTCCAGTGACATTATGCTACAATACAGAACCAGCATACGGAACTGCCACTTTATAATTACCGCAAATTTAATGCACATTATCAATGCATTTATCACATTATTGAGGAACAAAACAATAAACATGAAAATAGATTCACAAAATAATGTATTTGGAATACCTGTGCATTACTGGGGTTGGGTGATTTATGAATGAAACAGTACGAGTTTTTGTTATAATAACTGTGAGAAATAATGCAATCCAAAAGTGATACATTTTACAAGTAATGAACAGCATTCTCAGATTTTAAGAATCATAACAAATGGTATAAATATCATGGAATGCTTAATAATTACATTTCCTGTTTCGAGTGTCAGAAAATTTGCCAGCAAGAGCGACAACAATGACGATGATGAGTTTTAAAAAGCAGGACGGTTAAACAAACAAGATTTTGCATAAACAGGAAAACATCTATTTCTTAAAAACAGAAGCAAGTAGAATGTGCTGTGGTTCCCCGTTCTGTGGATTTCACATGACTATCCTGAACAGTATTACACCACGGTTTAACAGACAGCTGTCACACATCTGCTACTGGAAGACATGCTTTTTGTTCACTGTCGAATAGAAAGATGCAGCTCACTAAGCGGGATTCATTTTTAAAGGAATGAACCAAAAACACAAACTAATTAACTAACATTCCATGACCCATAAATAAAAATAAGCAGCTGCTTTTTTTTAAATTCCAATTATATTAATACTAAAATACAGTCACACAATAAAGCAGAAGTTCTGCTAGTTAAAAATCCTTCATGGACAAGGTCCGCTGGACAGCAGGGGGCAGCAGACCCCCCCCCCCACAACACTGTCATCAACCCAGACGTGATGCAATCAGAAAGCTTCAGATATTTCCTGTTTGGTATGTAAATAGAAGCCGTGCTTGAATTGAATTGGTCCAGCACATCTTTGTTTTTCTCTTCAGAGTACTGGCACCTCTCAATATCTGCTGGTACTTAATAACAAGGGGAGTACTTGGCACCTGGCATTGAATACCAAGGGGAGTACTGGCACCTGGTATTGAATACCAAGGGGAGTACATGCACCTGGTATTGAATACCAAGGGGAGTACATGCACCTGGTATTGAATACCAAGGGGAGTACATGCACCTGGTACTTAATAACAAGGGGAGTACTGGCACTTGGTGCTGAATAACAAGGGAAGTACCGGCAGCTGGTATTGAATACCAAGGGGAGTACCGGCACCTGGTATTGAATACCAAGGGGAGTACCGGCACCTGGTATTGAATACCAAGGGGAGTACATGCACCTGGTTTTGAATACCAAGGGTAGTACATGCACCTGGTATTGAATACCAAGGGGAGTACATGCACCTGGTACTGAATAACAAGGGGAGTACCGGCACCCGGTGCTGAATAACAAGGGGAGTAACGGCACCCGATGCTGAATAACAAGGGGAGTACCGGCACCCGGTGCTGAATAACAAGGGGAGTACCGGCACCCGGTGCTGAATAACAAGGGAAGTAACGGCACCCGATGCTGAATAACAAGGGGAGTACCGGCACCCGGTGCTGAATAACAAGGGGAGTACCGGCACCCGGTGCTGAATAACAAGGGGAAGCACCTGTTTTTCACTTCTCCAAGCACAGAATAGAAGGTTGTACGGCAGTTCTTTTCTTGAGTCTCACTGCCTTTTTTAAATTAATGTATTAATTGATTCATTATACAATTTTGTATAACATACTGTGCTTAACAGTTGGTGTCTTTCGACAGCTTTGCAGTTGCATTCCCAGTGGCTGACACTGGTGAAAAAGCTTTATTGCTGAGTGTCACATCAGCTGGCATGAAAGCACTGTGCCACTGGATGTACAGGACGGCCATGTAGTGATTGGCAACTCATGGTCTTCATATTGAGGTTCATTCTGAACAGTGTTACAAAGATACAAAAATACAAAAAATTATTTTTCTCATCAGGGAAGATAATTTATAATGAATAATAAAAAGAGGATTTGTAAAAGAAAACTTGTATGCAACGCGTCCATTTAAATTAAGAGCGGCACATTTAAACCATGTTTGCGCCAAAGCTCCATGTGCTTGGATTATAAGATCTTGCTTGGACTTCTCATCACTTCCTGATTTCAGCAAGGTGGCTGGTTTATGGTTGCAAACTAGACAGATCTCAGCCCAGATGAAAAAGACGGGAGTCTGGGCCCCACCTTACACAGCCCAGAGCCACGTTTAAATGTTCAGCACGTACATGAGTGGGAACTTGACTGTCGTGCTAATGGCTGCATTTACTAACCTTCACATTTAGCTCTGATTGATCTAGTAAATCCATCCACCCATCTTGCAACCACACAACCTGCCTGCATGTCTTTGGACTGCAGGAGGAACTGGAGCACCTGGAGGTCACGTGGAGAACATACACACTCCACACACACAGAGCAGAGATGAGATTCGAACCCACAACCATATCTGCTGACCCCGACCCCCCCCAGTAGATTCATGTAAAATATATATATACTGACCTCCCACCAACACCAGATGTGCAAATTATGTGCAAAAAAGTGTTCCATGTTTGTAATAAAAGGCCTAAAATGACAGAAACCCGCCTGGCACTAAGCATTGCCGCGGTGTTTGTCCTGACAGTGCTGTAAAGAGGCTCACGCATGCCACTCCTCTCGCATTCCCCAAAGTGCTCTTCAGTGCACTTCCTCTAAGGCCCTGAGGGTGGCGGTATTGCACGTTTGTTTGCTAGCGGCCCGCCTGGCCCTCAGGCCCACCGGCCACTCGACATGAAGCTCCTGCTGAGTGAGTAGCTGGCGTCCGACNCCCCAGGCACCAAAGGGCACAACCACGAGGGTGCTGTTATCCTCGGAGCCATACTGCTGTGCCTGCGGCATAGAACACGGTGCCAGTGAATTGAGGTACTGTCCCTACAGGCCCACCTCTGCCCTCACCCCGCCCGGCCCGTACCTGCTCCGCGATGACCTGGGCAGCCTCCCGCGGGTCTGGGCACTGGATGATCACGTCGCAGATCTCCTGGCTGTTCATGATGAAGTTGATTCCGTCAGTGGTCAACGCCAGGAAAGAGTCGTGGGCATGCTGCAGCTGGAACAGGGGGATCATTACCATGGTAACGTGACACAACCTACCTGATTCTAGGCTCCCTGACACACTGTCACCTTGGGTCCCCTGTAATGTGGTGAGCCCCCTGCATCGGCCTGGGTACCTGTGCCCTTCTAACACCCCCACCTCAGGACAGAAGCCTTACAGGGGTCAACATGAGTGCCCTGTTTCCTCCCCTCCCTCCGACACTCACGGTGACCCTCTTGGTCTCAGGTTCGGCGATCACGCCCCTGGTCTTGAGGTCAAAGTCCCCAATGCTACGGGTCATGGCCAGTCGGCCGTTGACGTTGGCCTGTCCTAAGCTGTTCCAGGTCACAAAGCCGCCGCTCTTCTTAATCCTGCAGGACATGCATGTGAGCAGAATGACAATGAACAACACTGTAATAATATTTCCTTTGTGCTACTAGTGCTGTAGGTAGATTATAACAGATTTAAAAAAGAAATTCCCCCCCCATCTACCACTGCACCTCTCCTTCTCGTCCTTCCTCTCGGGGGTGTGATCCACCGTCAGCCGCTGTGCCTTCCCCCTGCGGCAGAGCAGGGCGCGGCTGTCCCCCACGCTGGCCACCACAAGCTCCACACTGTCCCTCAGCAAAGCCACCGTGGCCGTGGATCCGGAGGTCTGCAGGGAGGCTGCGAGATGCGGAGACACCTGGAGTCACATTGGGTCATGCACTGCCCGCCTTCAACTACCACATACAGACAGGTAAACAACCATGCATGCAGTGTCATAAACCATATATACAGCCATGTCCAAGTAGTTTGGACCACAAGTCAGGAATACTCCTGGGATGGAATACCAAGCAAATGCAGGGAACATGCAGATAGACAAACAGGCAGACAGACATGCATACACACCTTTGTATTCATCTTTGTGGTGACATTCATTTATATGCAATTTAGGGTTAGGGATTTCATTTTTGGCATTTGGCAGTCGCCCTTAGCCAGAGACTAGCTATCAGGGGTAGATCTAGGGATGACCTGGGGTGGCCATGGCCACTCCCATAAATAAAACTGGCCCCAGATGGCCACCACAATCGTGCCACTGCTTGCTGCGCAATTATATGTGCTGTTATAATAATAATATGTGCAGAAAACACGCACTCCCACACACATAGCACTTTTCCACAGACAAAGAATCAGTTCCGTTCTGATTTGTGAACCTATCTTTGACTGGTTCTAAGTGTTTCCACTAAAATAAAAACATGTTCAAAACCAAAAAAACAGTGACTGTTGAGAACCAAGAATAGTTGTACCCTGAATGGGAACATGACAAAATCACGAGTGGGTGTGTACTATTCTGCTTACAGGAGCGAAACAAATGGATGTGCCTGTAGAATCTTTAAAACTCATTGTCTGGTCCCCAAAAGAAACAAAGTTTTGGCTTCGATTTGGACATCAACCAAATTCCAAAACAAATATGAAAGCACTACTAGGAAAAGTAAAACACTTACAAGCACCACTGATGGTGCTGCTGAAACAAACATTGGTGGAAATGCAGGCTGGTTCCTGGTTGGCTCCTGGTTCTGAACAGAACTGGTTCATGAACCAGAACGGAACCGGTTCTTTGTCAGTGGAAAAGCACTAAAAGTTCCAAACTCCAAGCTGCAGATCCATCCATACTGATTACTGCCCTGTGCAGTCATTCATTCCCAACATGGAGGGGAGCGGCCTGGTCTGGAAAAGGGGCCTTGGTGTAACATCAATGCAAACAGGCCTGTTTACGGGGGCCACATATACACATGCTCACATGCTCCAACAGGAAAAGGTTGCAATATCACTTTGAAGATGGCAGTAATAACCAGTTATTAGGGACTTATGGATAAGAGATTAAAGTGCTCAGTTATTCATGGGTGAGAAATGTCATGTGCAGTTAGTACATCTGCCTGGCCTACAGCATGTGGTCTGTGCTGCCGAAACATTTGTGCTACAGGTAACTCCCGCCATATCTGCTGGGACTTCCAGAGGCTTCTGTGCTGGCATGCCATCTGAGGCAGGTAGTGTGTCATGTGTCTCTGATAGTCCAAACCTCCGCGGCACCTGACTTCACCCATAACACCCTGACAGTGGAGGAGAGTCACGCAGTTTAATGATGGACTGAAGCTATGTTCAGACACCCAGGTCCTAAATGAGTGCGTAGTAACATTAAAAACACTGAGCGATGATGTTAAATGCTACCCCACTATGCAAGGGTGTGGTAGAGCATAGCTATTCAGATGCAGCTGAGGGACTTCTCTGTGTCTAATGTCATGATAAACCTCTATATTCCCACCGTGGCTATTGCTGTGAAAGAGGAAGGCACGGAACAGTACAGAAGGTATGATAAATACCATGTGCACAATGTCCCATGGCTCAGGTATCATATTCTGTCATCTGATGGGTTAATATCTTTAGTGCTCTTTCAATGAAATGACTGGATTGCAAGTGACTATATTAACAGGAAGGGATTCGTAAATAATGAACGAGATAGTGTATTGATCATGGGAAAACATTTTAAATAAATAAAATGCATTAATGTTAATTTGGTGATTATAAGACTTTTCGTACAGTAAATGTTCTGTATAATTAACATGTATAACATAAATAATGTATAATTTAACACAGAGATGTGTGACACATTTCCCTACAAAATGCTGAATGGTACAGGTGAGATGCATTTACAGGGCTTTTATTAAAACGCAGCAATCACACCGGTGCCATCATTCTGCAAACCGCAGAAGACCCAGTGCAAGTCTAGCTTGCTGTGCTCAGTTCTGTTCTGTGACTTAAATGCAACACTGTGATGAAAGGTGGGATGAAACAATCAAGTAGATTCACAATGACCAAGCACACTAGCTGTACATAAACACAGTCTGAACATGTACCCAGGCACTGAAAATATAGTGTTTGTGTGTGTGTGTGTGTGTTTGTGTGTGAGAGAGAGAGAGTGTGTGTGTGTGAGAGAGAGAGTGTGTGTGTGTGTGTGTGTTTGTGTGTGAGAGAGAGAGAAAGAGAGAGAGAGAGAGAGAAAGGGAGGATGAGGAACCTTCCATAGTCCGGAGAAGGAAGCGCTGCACTCTATCACCATGGATAATATTTAGCAGTTCGCCACCGACTGAGGCCGATCATTAAAATGTCCAGAGCCTGCAACACTAGAGGCTGCAAGTTGGGTCTGCAGTGGTTCTGGATAACACACAAACACGTGGGACTGTATGCATGGCGTCGGCCAGACAGTATCAACAGAGAGAAAGACCATCCGGGAGTAACATCTGGGAATAACATCTGGAAGTAACATCCGGGAGTAACATCCGGGAGTAACATCCGAGAGTAACATCCGAGAGTAACAATGAGCGGAAACTAGCAGATTGGAATTTCTGACTGACAGCCAGTCAAGCAGGGTCAGGGCTACCCTTTGGCTCGTCCTGCCACAGGCAGACCTACTGGGCTCTCTGCTGACCTTAGACTGCATGTATCTGCCCTTCATGCAGTTTACTTTAAAATACAGCTATTTTGTCTATGTTTCTTCTCTTCAGTTAAAAGGTAAATCAAAACTTATGGGAGGTACCAATGGCAGAATTACACACTACACATATCCTAGTGTAATACTAAAGAGTAGTATGTTTAGAGATCAGTTACAAAACTAAAAACTGCAAACTATGTGAATAAAAGTATAAATGGATGCTGAGGCACAATCACTTGGGGCTGTGGGGTTTTACCTTCTAGCACTTACCGTTCCCAGATGCATTCAAATGCATTTCAAACGCCTTGTCTACTTCTAGAAAAGCTTTGGTAAGCACCAGTTCCAGGTTCTGCTCCTCATGGACCAGGTCTCTGTAGGCGGGCCATAGCAGCATGTTATACACAGCCGTACATACGCTAAGTGAGATACACATAGCACTTTACATTGCTGTACATACTCAAAGTGAGGCACACCCAGTAGGCGTACATACACAGCTGTACGTACTCAAAATGAGGGGCACATTATTAACAGCCAAATGACATATTAACATTCATGTGACGTCATATTGCCAAAAGCATAAGGCCAGCTTAAGTGAGGCATACAGCAGACTGTACTCAGTCATACGTTACTTAGTAACAGGAAATAACAGGAAATGCATGCGTTAATAACAGGAAGTGCACATGTTAATAACAGGTATTACCAAGAAGTGTATGTTAATACAAGGAAACACATGCATAAATAACAAGAAGTGCACATGTTAATAAGGAGAAATTAGCATTAATAATAGGCAGTGCACGTGTTAATAACAGGAAACGCATGCATTAATAACAGGAAATGCATGCGTTAATAACAGGAAGTGCACATGTTAATAACAGGTATTACCAA